CTGTCATCCCCRCGTTTCTGTGTAAAAAATATCAATTTAAACGTGGCCAGATTGCCATCCAAGRACCATTCCTGTCCCAGTGCCGATGGAATTCCCTTACTGGGAATGGGCCAGACTGGGCTGTTGTGCTCCAGTTTTCAATGAGCTGAGCCCTCAGGAATGAATTTCCTAAAATATTTCTTCAGCCACTCAACATTCATCGCTCCTACRACAAAAAGTTGCGTATTTGCCCAAAAATGTAAACAAAGAACTCCAAAATCTCCTTTTTTTTTTCTCCTTTTCTTTTCATCTACAAAGAGAAAAAAATTTCATGTGAGCACAGTTACAGATAAAGCACTGATTGCCATTATCTGCACAACACAATCCATGGGGATCTGATGAAACAATGAGGAATATTAATTAAGGAAAAGCTCATTACTATGATGAAGGAATAGGCGAGAGCTACATGGGATTCTCTGCAYGGTAAATAAACCACAGGCTACAAAAGAGCAATAAAGAGATCAAAAGGGACAATTTTCTGTGCTCTGGGGCTGAAGTTGTCTCTTCCAATGACAAACTAAATTATAAATTACGTCCATCAGCCAACAGCATATTGATTTTCCTCTGTTTTGGTGAGGAAAAAAAGATAATTTCAGAAGTATTTAATCTCCGAAATACAAAATAAAAGTATTAATTCTGTGCTGACATAGAACAAGGATTTTTTCCAGTTTTACTGCTTCATATTATTGTATATAATAACCACTGCATAATTACAGCACTCATAAACTCCTTTTGTCCCAGACTATAAATCAGGGCAAAATATTCTTGTAGTTCACTCACAGAGGTAAAATTTTGCTAAGCTTAGGTTTAAGTGGCAAAATAATAAATATATTGCAAAGCTTTTTGTCTCTTTTTAGGTTGGGTTGCTCTGCAAATCTCTCTTGAAGGGGCATTTAGTAGCCCCAGGCCCAGATTTTCAGGSAAATCATGGAATGGTTTGGGTTGGAAAGGACTTAAATCTCCTCTCATTCCACCCCTGCCATGGGCAGGGACATTTTCCACTCTCCCAGGTTGTTCCAAGCCTGGCCTGGGACACTTCCAGGGATGGGGCATTGTACTCCCACCCCTGAATTCCCACCAGGAACAAGCAGCATGATGGATTTTGTTCCTAAGGAAGGACAATTTCAMATTAAAATCAGGGAGCAGCTCGGCTGGCAGTTGGAATTTCAGGGTTGCAACATCATTTCACAAGGATAAAGATAAATTATTTCCAGGCCAGAACTTCCAGCACATCACGAGAAGGACATTTTCCCTGTGGAACAGAGAGAATTAATTTTGGGAACAAGAGGCTGSCAGACTCCGAAAAGGAACCCCCATTTTTTGGGGGGGATATGATAAAACAAAACAAAGACAAGAAATAAAAGTAAAAAAAGTAACGATGGGGTTAGGAAGTAAAAATGGGATTTTAAAGGGAGGCAGAGCAGCTTTCCCTTTGTTTTTGAGACACCATAAAACTTTTCCAGGGCGGATTTTTTCTCCCTGCAGGAGCCAGGCTSCAGGACCTCCGGTGTTTTCCTCACCTTGGCCATGAGGAAAAGCTTTCTGTCCGTTACATCCATGCATGTAATCAGGGATTGTGCCTTTTGTCACACTCCCAGCCACCATCTGTGTGCTCCCGAGTGGCCAGACCAGGGCTAAACCCCACRGCCCCGGTGGGATTAATCTGCAATTTCACACCAAATGATTTTTAAGGATAATTTGTTAGGATACAGTATCCCGGAATAAAACAAACGGTCGGTGCTTTTTGCAGGGGGATAAAAGGAGGGAGCTTGTGGGGTTTCCTGTGTTTCCRATGGCTTGGGCAGAATCCATTTGCACGTTTTCATTCCCATGTGAATGCAGACATCCTGGGAAAAGAGCCTGTGGGTAATGGAAAGAGCTGCTTTTTTTTGATTCTGAGGGTTGAGGGTACAAATCTGGGCRCTGGAAAGGGGAGGAAGTGTAACAAAATTTTCATCAGGGACTGAGAATCCAAACCATGAGGCTGCAGTTTAAAATGGGAAATAGGATATTTCACTTGTGCAGGGATAAATTGTGAAGGCACTGGGTAAATAAAGAAGAGCTTGTGGATCCAATCTTTCCCAAAAAAATAAATGGATTGACGTGTGCAAGGAATTTTTTCCTCGTGGTACTTTCTGCACATGTTTTAGACACTTGGGAAGAGGGGGATGCAAACCATAAACAGAAAAAAAGCCAAGTGAGGAGTAKGAAGATCCAGGGTCAGGATGCACCGATGATCCGATGTTCTTCCACAAAAAAACAATGATGAATAAACATGAAGCTGTTTTCCAGACATTCTGGGTTCACCACAAAAAACACAGGTCCCAAACTAAACAGCCTGAGGGGGGGAAATATTTTGATTTTCTGACTACACAGAGGTCACCAAAATCTTCACAGAGTTCTCATCAGTCTCTGCTTTTGAGGGTTTCTCAGCCCTCCCTTGCTGGGTTTTTTTCCCCCTACTTTTCTCCTAAAATACACTGGAGAGTGTGGAAAATAAACCAAACTTGTTTTATAATGACCTCAGCTAGTGGCCAAATGAATTCAGTCTGTCATCCAAAAGAAGTTYCTATGGTTTAAAAGAAAATCTATGAAAATTAAAGATATTTTWGGAGAAATTCAAACACAAGGAAGCAAATGCCTTTGAAAACCAAATCCCTGTTTTACCCCTTGTTTTATTGCATTATTTGTTTGCTAAAAAGCAGTCCCAAGAAAGGAAGAAGTTAATTGCTGAACAATGTTATTTTAAAGGCTATGTGTGATTTTTTCATGCCACCAAATAAATTAGACAGAAATTGRATCCATAGAAATGCCTAATACACATTTCTCTGCTGCTATTCACTGTAAAGATAACTTCATTTGTGGCAGGTGAACTGAAACTATTCCTTAACTGAGATAAGACTGCAAATAAAACCAGAAATTGTCCATAACTCGTGGGTTTTTGTTTTAAATCACATAAAGGAATGCCACTGATGGATACCATGAGACAGCACACACCAATATTCCTTCCTGTGCCATTCCCAGCATCATTCCTCCAGCCCAGCAGGAACTGGTGGAGAAAACACCGAAAGCAAGGAAAAAAAACCAATTTCTCCAAGTCCAACCATCAGCCTGCAGCTCTCCTGCAACTCCAGCTTGGAGCTGACCTGAAGGAACACACAACAACTGTGGAAGGGGCTGAAACAAACTTTAAGGCCTCTTCCAACCCAAACCATTCTGCRATTCCATKAATTSCCCCAGARYTCTGTCCYGTCCAATTCTKGCACCTACAGGGGCAGGGATTCACCTCTCCCCATGTCCTGTTGCAGGGTTGAACTTCTCTCATTGTGAAAACGCTCTTTGCACCRATTTAACAGAATTCTCCTTGTTGGAACTCGCCCCTGCTCCAGCAGGTGTTTGGAGAACTGAGCCCTTTATCCCTCSCTGCTGCAGGTTAAGCTCCCCCAGTGAGCAAACGGGGCAGGAGCCACCCTTTGGCTCAATCCTGCCCTTCCAAGGTTTGCAAATCACCTGAATGGAGAAACCAACCCSTGCGTGGAATGTGCTCCTGCAAGGAAACCAGCCGGGGGAAAAGCTCGGCACAATGGCTTGAACAGGCTCCAAGGAAACCTGAAAGARATGGGGTGTTTTATCCTCATCCCTCCTGCAAACATTCAGCTGCAGCAGAGCATTTTTAAAGCATTTTTTTTAAGTTACAAGGTAAGGCTGTAATGCCTCTGATACAACCTTTCAATGAGTTACAACCCAGCATTAATTAATACAGCCCGTAATTAAGGGAACTCTTGCAACTGTGCAAACTCCACACCTTAGGCTCTGGCAGCACTGTGACTTTTCCTCGTATTTCAGTTCTCCTGATAAAGGCATTGATTTATAGAAGTATTGATTCATCTCCACTTCTATTGACAGCAATTAACAGAGAGGGATTTGATGCTCATCAAAGTGAACAGATTCTCATTAAGAGCAGAAAAAAAAATTCTCTGTTTTCGCATTTCATCCCCTCCACATTCTGTGGTAAACTGTCAAGCACAAGGAAATACATTTATCACGGATCTTCTGGGTTTTCATTGTGCAAGGATTTGGGGAGTATTTTCACATTTCAGCTTTGCTGTGCGGAGCCCAAAGGACCCAGTGTCATCACTGACTTCAAACTCTCTCTGCTTCAAGGCCACTTTCCTGACAAAGAAGGTTGGCCCCAGTTTTAGTGATGAGGGGCTTATAGGAAGAAAAATCTAGTCTAAAGAAAACATGTGGACAGGCCAAGACAATATTTTCTAGGGCTGGATCTTTGCTGATGTGGGATTTGCCCTAACCTCAGCTGTTTGATCCGTGTGTCTCTGGTACTTGGTGACATCACTGTCCCAAACTCGTGTCATTGTTGTCAAATTCACTCTCCGGTGGTTGAACCACACGGGTGGAAGAGGAAGCACAAATATGGTGCTCACAAGGAATGGTTCTCCAAGGATGCTCCAAGCCCCGTCCAACCYGGCCTTGGCACTTGCWGGGATCCAGGGGCAGCCACAGCTTCTCYGRGCACCCTGTGCCAGGGCCTCCCCACCTTCACATCCTCATCCCTCACCTCCCGCAGCGCTGAGGCTCTGAACGGGCTCTGCCCGCCCGGGGCTGTCCCGGCTCCCTTCCCGCTCCCGCCGCTCCCGCGCCCCTTCCCGCGGCCATCCCGGCACCGCCGGCGGGCGGGGACAGGCGGCTCCGGCCTCTGCCTTCGCTCCSCTTCCCGCAGAGTCGAGCGGAGCAMCGGGTACCGRGCATTGAGCACCGGGTACCGGGCACTGAGCCCCCGGCACCGACCGCTGAGCATCTGACACCAAGCACCGGTACCGGGCATTGAGCGCCGGGTACCGGAGATTGAACCCTCGGCACCGACCGCTGAGCATCGGGCACCAAGCACCGGTACCGGGCACTGGGTACCGGGCACTGAGCACCGGGCACTGAGCACCGGGTACCGGGTAGTGAGCACCGGGTACCGGGCATTGAGCACCGGGTACCGGGCATTGAGCAACGAGTACCGGGGACTGAACCCCTGGTACCGACCGCTGAGTTTCGGGCACCAAGCACTGGTACCGGGCATCGGGTACCGGGTACCGAGCACAGGTACCGGGCATTGAGCACCGAGTACCGGGCATTGGGCAACGAGTACCGGGTACTGAACCCCTGGTACCGACCGCTGAGTTTCGGGCACCAAGCACCGGTACCGGGCATCAGGTTCCGGGTACTGAGCACCGGGTACCGGGGACTGAGCCCCCGGCACCGACCGCTGAGCATCGGGCACCAAGCACCGGTACCGCGCATCGGGTACCGGGTACTGAGCACCGGGTACCGGGCACTGAGCACCGGTACCGGGCATTGGGCGTTGGGCACCGGCTCCCCAGAGCCGCCCCCCGCTCCGCTCCGCTCTCCTCCCGCCGGTGCCCGTTTGAGCGGGCGGCTCCCTCCGGAAAGTTGCACAAAGTTGTGTCAGTCGGGGTTGGTCTTTTTTTTTTTTCCTCCCCCCTTTTATTCGCCGCTCCCCTTTGGGACGCGCTGCCCGGGCCGGTGCCGCGGGGCGGGGGCGGGGGCGGCTCTGCCCGGCCCTGCCCCGGCGCTGACCCCGGGCCGGGCCGCGCATGCTCGGGGCTGGACAGCTCCGGAGAGGGAAATTTAAACCGGGGCCGGAGCGCGGCCCCGCCGCCGGCCCCGCGCACCGAGCGCCCGCCGAGCTCCGGGCGGCCCCGGGGCCCCGCCCGACAGGTTGGTGCACGGAGCGGCGGCAGCGCCGGGCGGGGGTCGGGGATGGGGATCCCTGGGTTCCCTCTATCCGTCCCTGGGGTTGGGGAGTGGGGTTCGCCCCGTCCCCGAGGCAGCGGGGCTGGGAATCCCAGGGTTCGCTCCATCCTGAGGCAGCGGGGTTGGGGTTAGGTTTAGGGTCTCCCCCTTAATYCCCGAGCCTGTGGAAGGGTCTGGGGTCTTTCCGGGCTCTCTCCATCCCCGGGGGTGCGGGGATGGGGTTATCCCCGGCTCCCTCCATCCCTAGGGAAGCGGTTCTGGGATTCTCCCGGGCTCCCCTCCATTCCCGGGACAGCGGGGCCGGCACCCACCAGGCTCCCTCCATCCGTGGGGCAGCGGTTGTGGGTTTCTCCCGAGCTCCCCTTCCACCCCGGGGCTGGGATCTCCCGATTCCCTCATCCCCGGGGCAGCCCTTGGACCGCTGCAACTCCCGCAGCTTTTTCCATCCAAAACGCGACGGGCGCTGTTTGGGGGATAAGAGCAGCCCAAGGCGGGAGCGCTCCCGGCGGGCTCGGWGCTCCCGGTACCCACAGCCCCTGTCCGTACTGTCCCTCCCTCAGGGGTCTCTCTCTGGGACGGGATTATCCCCCGGGAAGCGTTTTCCTGCCTTTCCCAGCGCCAGCAGCGCACCTGGGGTGCCGGTGCCGGTGCCGGTGCCGCCGCCGGGCTGTGCCGTGCCCGGTGCCGGGGCTCGGGCGGGGTCGGTGCCTCCCGCCGCTGCTGAAGTGCTGGATAGCTACTGCTGCTGACCGCTGCCTTCCTCTGCTTCCCCAGGAGATGATAGAGAGCGATATCCCGTCCATAATGTCAGGAATCATTAGGAATTCAGGGCAAAGCCACCACCCCTCGCAGGAGTACAGGTGAGGTTTTCTCCGTTTCACAAACGTGCGCTGCACCGGCGCAGCTGCCAAMTCCTGTTGCTTCCTCCTCGTTTCCTAGAAAATCCCTTTAGCATGTAGAAAATCCATTTTTCTTCTTCTTTATTTTGTTTWAAAGTTATCTGCGTTATTTGTCCGCTCTAAATAAGGTTTCTAAGCTGGTGACCGCTTACAATGCATTCCCTGTTTAGGAACGTTTCTGTTTAAAGTATTCACAATGGTGGGATTTGGGTGAAGGCTGGACTTGATAATCTTGGAGATCTTTTAAAAMCATAATAATTCTCTAATTCTGTGATTCTCTGATGTTGATACTAACCTGTATTTGATAAATGCACCACCAAAAGCTTGGGCTGACCCCTCTCTAAACTCTCTGTCCTGTGCGAGCGTTGCCAGGGAAGGACACCCCTGTTAAATTATAATAATTCCAAAGTTCCCTTTCAGATCGCTTTTTACATTGTTACGGAGCAGYCATGGAGAGACTGAACAAGTGCAAGGGACACTGGAGGAGTTTTTAATTAAAACAAGCACTTGTGCGGCCCTCCAAAGCGCTGACACGTCAAAGGGCTTTTAACGTGGGCGGGAACAAACCTGGCTTTGCCAAGAGCCTTTCATCATTTAATTTACCTGCACCACCGTGCTCCCATTTATCATTTCGGAGCATTGTTAGAAGTTGCAGGAGAGTTCGGCGCGAGTTGCAGAGCTCTGGGTTATGTTAGGTTACATTTTGTCACATGATGCAAAGCTCCAAGAAATACAGAAGCACAAAACCCCACCCCGGTTCCTACAAAAAAAAAGCAAACCAGAAGAAAGTTAATTAATTTTTTATTTTTTAAATGAGCAGAGAGAGGCTCCTTCCACCCAACCTGAGGGGTTTGCAACTTTTTTTCTGGGGCTGCTTGCAGGTATTCTTCTCCCAGCCTTTCTCTATTCAAAATGCAAACGCTGCGGCGCAGCCTCTTGCAGCTCAACGAGGGATTTGTTGTAGTCCCTGCAGCCTCTGGGGAAAAAGGTTTGTGGCTCTGTTTTTGCTGTTTACCGAGGCACTGTTTGCTCGGGGCGTTTTTCTCGGCTACGTAAATATTGGTGGAGAAATTATTCGGGATTTAGGGAAGGGTGTGGGTGAGAGGGACTTTTGGGGACGTGGGTTTAAAGCTGTGCCTTCAGTGCCCTGCAGAACTCAGCACCTTAACAAAGCCCTTTTTTAGGGACAGAACTATTCTTTAACTCAGAGCTGCAGGAAAAAAAAAATGGATTTGGGGGGAGAAAGATAGAATTTTTCTTTCTGCAGTTAAAAAAAAATATCGTAACTTTCTTCTTTTCCTCTTTTTAAAAACCAGCTTTGGATTCTGTGTGAAACATTTTGAGCTCGGCTCTCTAAAKTTTTTCGCCCACTTACGATTTCTTTAAAACAACTTATTTGACCTCATTTAATAGTGGCGAATTCTGATAAAAATGCATAAAATCTGAACTGCACCATAAATGCAGAGCAGTATTTGTCCTACTTCATGAGAAAACACTTTGGATTATGTAAAAGAAAATCTTTTGGACTGAATGATTTTAAGAAAAGAATAGACCTGTCAAATTCTATCAGCTCTGTTTACTCTCCTGCTGTCACCACAGTCCAAGACTGGAACCCACAGTCCCGAGTTCTCCATGGGGGAGCATCAAGGCTCCACAAAATGGGGAATGGCCTCCAATTAGCGAGTGGGAGGCTGGGGCTGCGCTGAGAATACTCTTCTGTCTCACTTGGAATCTTTCAATGGGACAGTTGGGCTCTGGAGGAGCCCCGGCTCTGCTGCGAGGAGGAAAGGCTGGGAAGGGAGGGGAGCAAACCCACAAACACCCATCAGTTTGCAAGCAGATTGTGCTTACAGCTGGATTTCGAATTTTTATTTTTATTTTTTTTAATGGATGTGGAGGAAAAAAAATCCCCGATTTTAGCAGATCTTTGAATTGTGCGGCTCCGATGCATCTGCAGTAAATCTGCCGTGGCACGGGGTGGTGATGAGGCTTGGGCTGCTTTTGGCTGAGGATTTTGCACCCCAGGAAAATGATTTTAGGCAGAAATCCCTCCCACCGGTGCAGCWGTGGGATATAAAATAGTGCAGGGATGGTTAAGGGCCATCAGATCTCCTCCACCGCCTGTTTTTACMGCACTGACACTCCCTGGCTGCAGTGCAAAGCAATTCTTGATTTTAGCAGCTGCATCTCTTCGTTTCCTACAGAAAATACCACCATATCCAATATATTCAACCTTGGAGGGCTGACAAATATTTCTAATTATTATAATTTCTAATTATTCTGTATCACACTTAAGGGAATCAAAACAGAGAGTTGTAACACAGTGGGATTTTTTTGACCTTTAGCTCTTTTTTTCTTATTGACCATAATTAATAACTTGACATGTTTTAGTGTCGATATTTTGATTTTAAATCAAAGCATAGGAAGACCACGAGTTTTCTGAGCAGTGGTGCCTCGTGGTGGTTTCAGCACWGAGCTGTGAGAATTACAGGAGCCAGCTCCAGGCTTTTCCCATGGAATCCACTTTTCCTGGGAATCCAGGCTCTTCAGYTCCTGGGCTCTGCGGTCTTCAGGCAATATTCTGAATTGAAATGTGGAATCTGTCATTTTGAATTTGAGATTCGATTTCACAATATTTTGTGTCAGGACCACATTTCTGATTTTTTTATGTTAATAGGTATTTCCAGTTGACAGAAGCCTTATGGAATATTTTGAAGGCCTTGCAATGCATTTCCTATATGTTAAACAGGAATTAAGCTCCAAATAGATCTATTTTTGATCCAAAGGTCAATCATTAATAATTCAATATATTAGTGGCTTTCATTGTCCTTTACCCCATTTTAATTGTCCCTCTGATTCTTTAAAAAATGCCAATTCTCATTATCTCATTAGTGTGATCAATTTTAGCTGTAATTACTTTACATTGCCACACTTCAGTGTAAAATCAGATTAAGAAGCAGAGATACATAAACACAGGGCTGCTGTATTCCCTAAATTCCAGATGTGACAGCATTCCAGTGGGGAAAAAAGGTGACAAATCCCTAATTTGGTGACACACAGAGCACATTTTAACTCAAATCTGCTTTATTGCGCTGGGATTTCCACAGAGGAACTGGATGGATGGATGGATGGATGGATGGATGGATGGATGGATGGATGGATGGATGGATGGATGGATGGGAGTGTGCACACAAAAGGCTCCAAATGCAGCACTAAAGACACCCTAATTGTTCCCGGGGAAAATGCCAGTGTCCATTCCCGTGACATTCCCGTGCGTGTCTGACAGGGAGTGAGATAATGACTCCGGAGTGCCGCA